ACAACCACATGTATTTTGTATTGCGGGTGTTATGTCAAATCTCACAAATTCTTATAATTTCGTTTTTTTTTAGTTTTTCTCGAAATATGTATGTATGTAAGATATATAAAGATGTGCATATCAAATCAATTGCCTTTCCAACCATATCCACATTTTGAAATTCGGTACAATATATCAAATCAATTGCCTTTCCAACCATATTGAAAATTCCACCTTTACCCTCCCCCTAGCACCGCCCTATTAATTTGCACACAAAAAAAATTACACCTTTCAAATCAGTAGAAAGGAGCTGACCACGCCCACTTTAAAGTTTTGTTTTATCTCAACGGCCGCTATACCGCATCTATGCCTCAAAACGAGTCTACGATACGAATGAGTGTAACATACAAAGAGTCAAATGAGTTAGTTGAATGAGCTGACTCCTTAAAGTGAGTTGGAGTCATTGAGTCAACTCCTATAAATTTGCTGAGTTACCCACCCTTATGGCTCTGCGCCGGCTCTGCTGCATGTCTGTATGTATGCAAGAAATATTACAAGTTGCCGTTATGCCGCCTGCGCATTTGTGATTTTGCAGCGCCGAAGCAGTGTGGCCAGATAATCGTCAAAAGCGAGGCTGAATTTGATTTTAAAACGTTATACGCAATGAAAGTTGAAGTTAAAAAGAAGTCAGTATATTCATTCCTTAAAAACTCATCGCCAAATCGTTAAAACTATGTTCATATTAATGCATAAATTACTTTGTTTCGGCCAAATTACTTCACATAAAACAAGTGCATTCAGACTTGCTTTCATTATTTCTATATATGCACATTTCATTAACATGTGTACGTACGAGTGTGTGGTTTGTACTTGATTTCAATTAAAATGGATGCATACCTTAGGGCGTTTTTTTTAATAGTTTCCTCAACAGTGGGAGCTAAAATAAATGACAACAGATTTTTACCTTCATCTGGTCCTCGATTTATAATAAATTATCTCATTTCTACTTAATTTATTGATAGATTTTATAAGGCGAAATTATTTGATATCAGCAAGACTTGCTTATAAATTACGAATGAGCCGTAAATTACGATAATGGGAATTTTTGCCCTCACTGTTGAGGAAATGCCTGAAGGTATGCAACTATATTTTTGTTTTGAAATCAAGTACAAATCAGTTAAAAAAGTATGAAAGAAAATGTAAACGTACTTGATTTGTAGTTTTAAGATAAGAAAAAGGAAACATCTATTGAATGAATATTTTTTACATCAAGAAGCAGCTAAAACCAAATTTATTAGTATTATTTTTTATTTTATTAGTTGCATATACATATTATTTTATTTATTTATTTATTTTTTGTTCAGAATCTTGTGTATATGAACTTGCATTTTCATATTTCGGTGCATTTGTAAATTCACAACAATAAAATGCAAACGGTTGCTATGGTAGCAAGTATAAAATTTGCATATGCAAATCCAATACCAATTCTACGATATCCAGGACAGTTCTTGTGTAAAATTTTGAACGTTAAATAGTAATTTTAAATATACTATGTATTTTTAGTATTACAAGGTTCTTAGTTTTATAAGATCCGGTACGAATTTTATTATGAACATTTAATGTAAAAAAGGCCAGAAAAAATGGCATAAAGTTAGATGCTGAATCTAGCCTTAAAAATGTTAACCTGGTCATACTGCGCAGTAGCAATTCGCCGCTCTGACATTTTATTACACAGGTGCTGCCAGCGGGATTATTTTCTTATGTTCACCGGGTGACTCATCGTTTATGTAATTGTAAATACATTTCGGACACTTGCGGAGTGTGGTGTAAATGAAAAATGACAATTATCGGTTGGGCTTAAAAAATGAGTATAACTATGTTTTGTTGAATTTCACGTGTGGGATGCGCAGTTTCACCAATAAATTTTAAAATTTATCGTTCTGATAAAATTTAAAATAGCAAAATTTCCTAACATTTCCTATTTTAAATTTTAACAGTCTGGTAGGTAAATTTAAAAATGATTGGTGAAACCGGGCATGAGAATTTTAATTCATAGCTCTTTTGTAATACAATTTTTATTCACAATCCCGGCATATAAAAAATATTTACATAGTAAGAACAAAAACATGGAAAAATACGTTTACATAGCTTTTGGAGTAAGTACTTTCTCTGAAAAGTTTCCTCACTCTATCATCTGATCGTTCCCACGTTAGTACACTTTAACGGAACGAACCGATTTATTTTTGATACAGGGGCATTATTTCTGCCGCTATGTGGTGTTACAATGGCAATAGGCGTATCTGGTGGGTGGTTAGCTGAGCGCGCTACCATTTCGCAGGGCCCAGTTTCCGAAATAAAAAAATAAAAAAATCATAAACAAGTTTTTTCTGATAGAGTTCGCACCTTGGCAGGCAATGGCAAACCTCCGAGTGTATTTTTGCCATGAATAAGCTTCCCAGCCAGTAGAGAAACGTAAATTTTGAAGACAGTGCGGTCTCGCACAGTTTTCTGTTTACGGAAACGACTACATTTTTCAACAATTTTATTGAGCTTGATGAAGATTTTTTTGACAACTTTTTGCGGAGAAAACAATAGTTTACAAACGGAAGAAAATATAGCTGATATTTCGGAGATCACCACATCTCCTCATCAGACTTTTTTCATCAAGTAGTCGGCAGTGGCTGAGTGTGTGGAGGAGCGTACAACTATTTGTTTGCATCTAGAAGGTGTCGGGTTCGAATCCCTTAGGTGCTTCCTAATTTTTTATTTTTTTTTGAACAATAAAAAAGCTTTCGTGAAGTGTAGATGCAAAGTGTGTTGAACGAAAAATTCTATCAAACAAATTTCAGAGAAAAACAGCAAAAAACATGTTCGTTTCACAACCATTTTCGGTACTTGTCGGTATATACGTTTCTGCCGCACCCTTTAGTGGGAAAACGGATCGTCAAAGGAATCGGTAAACGGACCAAAATCGCATTTCATTCACTTTTTGTATTTTTTTGGTTGAATTTTCGGATTTTTTGCTGGCTGGGTTCTCATAAAAATACAATCGCCGTTAGGAGTCGCCGTAAAGCTGTAGGTTCGTCCCCATTGTGCGACAACATGAAGGCGCAGCAGAGTCAAATCGGATATCCAGAGGTCCAGAGTTATGAAATGCGCCCGCCTAAACCTTAAAATTTTCTTAGTTCTCAATTGAACGCCAAACAAATTTGTTTCTAATTTTCCAATTTTAACTTTACAAAAAATGAGTTACATAGGTATCTACAAGACCCAATGAAAAGGTAGCAGCGACAGAGGAGTGAATTTGATTTTTTTCGGGCACTTAGTCTCAGAATGGTAATTTTTGGTTATAAACAAACATTTAACTCTAAAATATTAAATTTTGTTTAAATCCTTTGACATTTGAGAGTACAAAATTAATAACAAAATACGGCGTTTTTTTGATATCCAGAAACACCCAGCTTCCACATAAAGATAACTATATATGCATGGAAATTAAGAAAGACTGAAAAAGCAAGCTGACAACGGAATCAAAACTAACAGGAAGCTGTAATTTATTGCGAATTTCACTTGCTTTACTTTAATTAAGCAAGCAAGCTCGTGCAACAAGTCTCACCATTAATTAGTCACAATTTTGATTTTCCGCTTTCTTTGCATTTGCTTAGCAGATACATAGTTAATTGACAAATGACATAAGCGTTTGAAAATGTAATAGTTGCTAACCGATGGAAAATATTTTCTTCATTTTAGTATAGCCCCTCGATAGTCAACCTAATACATAAATAAGTACATATCTACATTAGGGTGGTCCAAATGTACACAGGAATATTAACTTTTCGGAATTTCTTTGCTGCAACGTCCAGGATTATAGAAAATGCCTTTTATAAGCTTTTATTTAACTTCACTTGTATGTAAATATGTACATACATACGTACATATGTAGGTCGTGGAATTTTGCAGTAAATATTTCACTAACTACCCAATGAGCTTGAGACTTGAAACTTCAAACTAAGCTCATAAACCAATGACAATGCAATATGAAATAATCTGCTTGGTGGCGCAGGAGTCGAGACATTTGGAAAATCGTATTTATAGTCTAATTTTGCCGATAGGTGGCGCAGAAATACTTAAAAAGCTTGCTTTAAAGATTATAACAAAATTAAACACCCTAATGTCGTACATACCCTGCAACCCAAAGTTCCCGAAATATTAACAAAATCTTGAAGAGTATCGGAAATTTGTACCGAATTTTGTAACGATCTCTTTGCGAATCTTGAAACAAAATCATGTGAATTGGTTGACACGAACTCATGTAGCAAATTCTGTTCCTACTTTCTTAAAAAAAGTTCTGCAAAAATTCTTTGCATCACAGCAATATTTTGTTATTGTTTTTCACAGTGTGCCAGTATATTACATCTTAGAAAATTTGGCAAAAAATCGGAAAGACAAACAATGGTTTCTATAGAGCTTCTTTAAGATTCCTCTACTTTTCAAAATATTCCGAAAACAGGGTTTGCAGGGTAAATACATACATACATCATATTAAAAGCTCACGAAGTCATTTTATTTATTTTTTCTTCGAGGGACTTCGTTTTATATTTTAAATTTCTTTGTTATGGTCTTGAGAAGACAATTTTGTTTTGTTCCAAAGTGCATTGGCCCAAGTTTCTCGTTCTAGTACTTACCCAACAGATCTCAGTTCCTACCACGCTAACGTACAACCCTAATGTGAGAAAATTAAAGCTCACCAAAAATCATAAACTTTTGCTAACGAAGTTTGAAATTTCCCATGTATGTATTTTACATGGGGAAAATAAATTTTTTCGTAGAATTGCTATAAAATAGGATAAATATATTAATCGATTTCAAAATAAAAAAAAAAATACGTGTCTCCTTATTTTTGATATTCTTTAAATTGCAAATTTTTAATACCATTTTAAAGCCATTTTAAACAAACCTTTTTTTATAATATCTTTAAATGAAAAAAAGTTCATGATTATTCAATATTTGTTTCTTTTCAGATGAGTGGGAAACGTTCACGTAGCTTTAAATGTGCAGTTCATCATCGTGATCGAGAGGTTTGTTCCGAAAATGACTTCCATCTTGTACTAGAAGAACCGCCATTCTTTAAGAAAATGGTGCACGTCGTTGCCATGGAAATACTGCCCGAAGAACGTGATCGCAAATATTATGCCGATCGTTATTCATGTTGTCCCCCGCCTTTATTCATTATACTAATGACAATCATTGAGGTAAGTAGGTCGTTATTATTTAGATGCTCACAGCCATCCCCAAATTGGAGCGCTAAGCGTTGCGTTTTCCAACGTTGCGTTATGCGTTATCCCTAAAGAATGGAGTGTTTTTTCCTTCTTCCATAGAAACTGTATGTGCATTAGGATTTTTGACAGTTCCTTGATGGTTGATGCACCAATTTAGAGATGGCTATTAAACCTTTTGCGATATTATAATAGTAAATACATACTATGAATGTATATTAGGATGGTTCAAAATAAGTAAAGTCGGAATTTTAATGCTCTCACCCCCTAGAATTGTTCCATATCGAAAAAAAAAACATTTACCACTATTTTTTCATTTTGAAATCAATAAATATTTAGAGGTCGCTCAAAGCGCTCAAAGTTTTCCATGTTTTTTAAATGGGAAAAACCACAACTCGTAGAAATTGTATAGAAGCTAGAAAAATAATATTTTTCGATCTGGAAAACCCAATTGTTTATTTAACCATTTTTTAATACTAAAGATTTTTTTTTTTAATTTTTGCTTGAACGAATCATGTTTGCACGGTATATGGCGAAATGGGAAAAGTACTTAGGTTTGAAGTATGTTTGACAAGCCACTTCTGTGGTGTGGAGGGACCTACAATTTTACGCCGACTCCGAAAAGCGATTGTATTTTTATGAGAAGCTGTTTTTCATGGCAGAAATACACTCGGAGGTTTGCCATTGCCCACCGCTATTAAAAAAAATACCTTTTTTTATTTTTAATTTTTTGATGTTGGGTTGAACCGGGCTTCAGCCCAGGTCCTGCGGAATGGTAGGGCGCACTGCTAATCACAAAAACATAGCGGCCGCCACACAATTTAAATGGATTAAATTTTTCTGACTTTGAATCTAAAAGTTCAATGTTTAAGCTTTCATGTTTTACCATTCAAAAGATTATATTCTACGTCTACATACATCTTCCTATAAGAGTTAAAAAAAAGCCAAAAACCCGTTTTTCCCCAAATATCTCAAAAACTAGAGCCAATTGAATAACTTCAATATCAGATTCTGATTCTACGAAAAAAACACCAACAAATGAAACCGAAACTGTGACCGTTTAAACTGATTCGCTTTTCAAAACCGTAACCGTAGCCGTTATTTTAATCTGAGAAAGAACGGAACCGAAACCGTTTCAAGCACAGCAACCGGTTCTAATCGGTTTCGAGAAAACTATAAAAATCAGCTGCAGGATGTGCTAACAACAAAGTTGATTTTCTTTAATAGCATAACTGTGCCGTTACACGATCAAGAATTCGCTATCAATTTGAACACACATATTGCTTGTCAAAACTCCTTTGAATTTACAGCTGTGATGTAGGCTGCACGCAGTTTGATAGACAATTTTTTTCGATTCAAGTTGCCGTCGTCAAGGAAACTACTTAATTCTCACCTTGTTGCCGTACCCAAGGCACATAAATACAGGTAGAAGCCAAAATGACGTTGCTCTCATGAGAACCAAACCTTTAAACTTCAACTTGATTTTATTTTATTTCCTATATTTCGTTACGCTTAAAATGTCATGTCGTTTGTTTTTTTTTGAATGTTCGTTAAAAACAAATTTTAATTAACATTTGCATTTTTGTAGTGTTGTTCGGTTTATACTTAGTGTATGTGTTAAAAATGCAGCACCTGAAGCGTTGTTTTTTATGTGGTGTTAAATATAATGCAGACATCACTAATTTTTTTAACGTGCCTCAATGCCCTCGGCGTAAGGAGCGTTGGGAAAGCAGCTGTGGGGTAGAGCTGCAGCGAAATGCCTTGCTGTGCGTTAAGCATTTTAAAGCAGCAGATTTCATAAATGCACCAGGAGGTACAGGAAAGGCACGTTTGATGCCAAGTGCTCTTCCTATGACCCTTATGCCGGAAAGTCCTTCCAACAACACTGCAACTCATAAATCAAGTTGTGAAAGCTTAATAAATGATCGCGCTTCACAAACTGAGTAAGCATTGTTAAAACGCGATATATTTATAGAAATATTTTTAATTTAAGTCGTTTAGTGGAGACTTAGAACAATCCAGCTACAAACTCGAAATTCTGTTGCTGAAGTCAAGAATTGAAAATCTGGAGGGTGAAAACTCAGCACTCAAGACAGAGTTGGAGAAAGCCAAACTTATTGAAAATGCATTCCAGGGAATGTCGCAATCATTATTTGTGTTCCGTTGTTTTATTGATTGCCCAACGTTATGCCTAGTACATATATCGCTTTATACATACATTTGTATATTATACAAAATTAAAACAGGTACTATAAATATAAACTTTCAATGTATAAAAAAATAGAAAAGAACATACAAATTAACAAATTTTAACTAAAGAAAATAAATAAATAAATACAAAACTTCAAATTTACTTAAAAACGTCAACCAGCGAAATGTAATTTTTTTATTTTTCCTTACACACGCTCATTTTTATTTTTACTCTCTCGAAAACTTTGACTTTTGTAGGTTTGATGTCAATTTGGCTTCTACCTGTTTTTATTGTACCATGGCCGTACCTACATTTATCTGACACAACCTCTCACTAAATTCTGGAGTACTGGAGCAGACTAAATGTGATCAGTTGTTTGACTTTACTATCAAGTTGACACACGACTTGAAAGGAAAAATTGATATCAAGTCGATAGTTAAGTTGTGAAAGTGCGAGTGTATTGCAACAGCTGATAGGCAATTTGCAAAGTGTGAGTGATTCATAGGTTTCTTCCTTATATGAATTAAAATTAACCACAATGTTTAATGTCGCAAACAAATTTTAGCAAACGTTGGAAGGTACATATTAGTTGCGTTCCGTAACTCGCAAGAAGTTGCAAGAATTTACAGGATTTTACGAGAAAGCGTTCCCGTACTCGGTTCTCTGGCAAAGTAGGAAAAAAATGGGAGGGTAAAATCGGCCCTCTCTTTGTCAGAAGTTGCAAGATTTTACCCGAAGAATTTCTGGTAAAGTGTCAAACTACTTGAATGTTGTATGGCGCCCACGGTGTATTTGACAATTTTACCAGTTTTCAGCCGAAAAGCGTTCCCGTATTTTTTGATTTTTCTCTACTTCTCTGAGAGCAATTTTCCTTTTTGACAGTTTTACAGGTTTTGTCCAGAAAAGTTGAGGAATTAAACTATTTATCTAATGAATAAACCTTTTTGTCAAACTTGTTTTCGTATTTTTATTCCAAAAACCGAAACTGAAACCGATTCGGTTTCGGATTTTGATTCGGTTTCATTCTTTACAACAAGGACAGCTTCGTTATCCAATGTATTCTATCTTCGTTGTAAATTTTAAATCCAGCCCAATTTCTTAAAATTTCCCCAAGCGAATCAGAAATTCGGCATTTTTATGGCTTCAGCCTTTAGAAATAGCATAACATAATCACTAATTAAACTGCAAAATTTTATTATGAATTACAATTACTTAAATATTTACATATGTACTCGCCTTAAGTGTTCTGTAAGTCTGAATTAAAAAAAAGAAGAAATTTCAAAAATTGTAATAAAAATATTCGAATGTATCGATCGGAATTACTAATGATTTGCTTAAGTATTATGCGATTGAAAAGTGCTGGCAAACTACGTTGGGAAAGCGGCGTGGACGTCTTTTGAAGTTTGTTTTACGTGTATTACTAATTTATGTATGCATGCCAATATTACCTATTATTTTTAATTTATTTATCTGTATAAGTATGGATGTATGAAAGTGTGTTAAACTTAAGTGGTAGCATACACTGTCCTATATTAGAAAGTCGTAAAACTTTTGGATTTTTTAGATTGTTTAGTCAGAAGCCAACACCACTTTTCATCGACTTTTTTCAAAGTTTTTAAAAACAGGTCGGCAATACCAAAACAAAGAAAAGTCAATACCCAGAGCACGGCATATCAAACAGGTAGTAGCATTAGAGCAAAAACAACTTTTGTGTTGTGCTTCTGGTAACGCAAGTGTCAACTGTTCTGATTTTTTTTTTCTAAATCAAAGCATGCCATGTAAAATACAAAAAATAAAAAAATTTAAATAGGATAAATTGAAAATTGTTGCAACTTTCTTTCTTATGCCGAATTTCCACTAGGCATTGAAATGCCTGTCCGCTGTGGCGTAGTGGTAAGCAGTGCGCGCTTTCACTTATCAGCACCTGGGTTCAAGCCCTGGTCAAAGCATCATCGCAAAAAATATTGAAAAAGGTTTTTTCTCAACAGCGGTCGTCCCTCGGCAGGCAATGGCAAACCTCTGAGTGCGAGTGTATTTCTGCCATGAAAAAGAGCTTCTCATAGAAATACAACCGCCGTTCGGAGTCGGCGTAAAACTGTAGGTCCCTCCGCTTTGTGTGACAACATCAAGGGGCAAGCCACAAATCGGAGGAGAAGCTCGGCCAAACACTAACATATGTATGTGTAGGCGCCAATCTATTGAAATGACAAAAAATGCATGCGATTTATAAAAATGCCATGTGGAAATAAACTTAATGACTATGTTTTAATGCCCGACTTTGTCATTTGTTATTTTTGCCATTTAATGATTAGTGGAAATCCGGCATTAGTAAATTTGTTTGCTTCTCGAAGCATTGATCCATACTTTGCGAGGCCCAGTAATCAGCGGTTGTGCTGCTGAGTTTGGCGAGCGTTCTAAGAGCTGCTATTAAACGGCTTGATTTGTATGGAAAAAGGTTTCACATGCAAATAGATTTTAACAATTTAGAATTTCTGTGAGAAGAAATTAAAAATATTCGACATTTTCGAGACCAAATATTTGAATAAAAATAAAATCAGCTACTATACTGATACTACCTGTTCAATGTGCCTTGACCCAGAGTAAGTTAAAAATACCGTAGTTGTGGTAGCGAAAGGGTGCTTTTTTTTAGAGATGTAGAACTTTAAATTGAATAATAATTTCAAGTTGAAATTTAACTTTGTTAAAAAGAAGTTAAAATGCTGCACCTTTTTTTCAAGTAATGGAGCCGTATCTCGGAAATGGTTTACATAAATCAATAACTTCGAGTAACCCCACAGAAAATAATCGAGTGGTGTTGAATCGAAAGATCTTCGTGGCCAATTGACTGTCCCATTTCCCCCAAATGTTTCCTTCAACAGGTCGATGGTTTGATGCGATGTATGGCATGTGGCGCCGTTGTTTTAGAAAAACATGTCTTCAGTGGAATTTCCATGCTTTATTAATAATACGAAAGTAGTTCTCAAAAACGTATAGATACGTTATTTTTATATAGTTCGAGTGACATGGTTAAAGCTTTTAGCGGAAAAAATTGCCACCGCAGGAGAGTTCACTTCCTTCAAATGATAATTTGACTAATAGTTTATATCTATATACATACATATCTTTCTTTCAGCTCTGCTTTTTCGCCTATCACACACTCAGCATTGGCGAGGCGGAACCAGCAGGCCCAGTTCCAATCGATTCCTTCTTCATCTACCGTCCCGATAAACGCCTTGAAGTGTGGCGTTTCATATTGTATATGGTATTACATGCCGGTTGGTTTCATCTTGGCTTTAACCTCTGTGTTCAATTACTTTTCGGCTTACCGCTAGAGATGGTGCATGGATCGGGGCGAATCGCTTGTATATACTTTTCCGGTGTATTGGCAGGTTCATTAGGTAAATATTTGTAAAAACTAAAATGAAAAATTTACTTATGTATTCAAGTTGGTCTGCATGTTCTCAGCTAAATTTAGAGGTCTAATAAGAAAGCTCGCACTTTTAGTACAGTCAATCTGGACTTAAGAAAACTCCAGAGCAGCGCAAAATGTGCCAATTGGTTCAGAAACATGTTCAGAATAAAATTTTCCGTCAAGGGGGATCGGAGTATTATTTAAATTAATGAAAAATTAACAAATTTGGTCCAACTCAAATCAAAAAGGTAAAAATACTAAATTTCAGAGCAGATAAAGTTCAAAACGATAACCACTGTTCCAAGAGTTTGTTTTTTATAAAAAATATTTGAATCTGCTACGCATCTTGTGCCAAAGTTGGCGGCCATTTTGGGCCGTGTTTCTCAAAATATTTGTATTAAAGAAAAAAATTCCAATTAGTTATAAGAACTTTTTATGATGGAGCCATTTTTGAAAAATATTGCGCAATTATACATATCAATTTCAACTGAAAGCTTAATAGGTCTGAAAACTTAAAAAAAATAACAGTTATAGACCCTAGAAGTACTTCCTTTTTTCTTAATTTTCATGGTTTCACTTACAGACGACTTTGGCCATCTGCTAATCAGTTGTCGTTAGATTTTTACAAAAACAAAATTTTGGTTTAAAGTTTTCTTTATCAAATACCAACGAAAATACATACGAAAAACGTTTTTTTGCCACAAAAACTGATCCAACTACCCATTGACTGTATTATTTTATAGAAAATTTAATAACATTAATCGGAGGTATCTTCTATTTCTATAACGATATCGATAAACGTACCGATGACATCCAGAAATATATAAATATATCGATATCAACACTGATAACGATATCGATAAATATTTATATCGACGGCTGAATGGTAAAACGACCTATCTGGTAGTCGGTTCGGAAACGCCCTATCTGAGAAAATGACACAAGAACGCCCTACTTATAATTTGCTGAGTTCTTCAACGAAATTCGGAAGTAGGGCGTTCTTGAAAAGTTTTCTGAGATGGGCGTTTACGAACCGCTTGCCGAGATATGTCGATCTGTCGATCTGTACATAAAAATTACTTATTTTCTTCCTTTATCTCATTTTTACTTATCTTACTACAGGCACCAGCATATTTGATCCCGAAGTGTACTTGGTTGGAGCTAGCGGCGGCGTATACGCTCTACTGGCGGCACACTTGGCCAATGTGATGTTAAATTTTCATCAGATGCGCTATGGCATACTGCGATTGATAGCCATTTTGATGTTCGGTAATAAAACTTATGTAAATCACTTACAAAAAAAATAAATAATTATCTACATTCCACTTCCTTTTTTTAGCATCCTGTGACTTTGGCTTTGCAATCTACGCTCGTTATTCAGGCGATTATCCCTTTAGTCCCTCGGTATCCTATGTCGCCCACTTAACCGGTGCCTTGGCGGGCCTAACCATTGGCCTAATTGTGCTCAAGAACTTCGAACAGAAACTACACGAACAACTTCTGTGGTGGATTGCGCTTGGTATTTACACTGCCTACATTATATTTGCAATTGTCTTCAATGTATTGAATAGTGCTGCGATGCAGAGTCTAAAAGTGGAACCCATCTATGCAACCGAAACGTTTTTCAATGATTTTCATGTATAATATTTAGTTTTAAGCGCTAAATGCTATGCCATCTTGTCGATTGGGTGGAATGCTAAGTGTAGAAATATTTTGCAAAAAAGTGTGAAAAAGTGTGTACATATTACATATGTACATATAATGAAAAGAATGTATATACATATATAATTTTTGTTAAACTTTCTACTTAAAAATTTTTTGTTTATGTTTTGCATTACAGTTTGCATTTAAAAATTTAATGAATGAAATGAAGAAAGTTTGTGCTTTATTAGTGAATATTGGAAAAGTAAATAAAATAATTAAATATTTTTTGTTTTGTAAGAAAATTTGTTTGGCATAATTTTGTTTAAATGTTACTTTGCAACCGCTTCATAAATGAATATAATCAAATGCTAACTAACTTCGTGATTTTATAAGAGATCTCAAAAGATCGTGCAATAATTCAATATTATATAGCATAAGTTTAAATATGTATGTAAGTGGAGTAGAGTATATACATATGTACATATATAAGTACTTGTAAATTATTATCTCTGAAAAATGAATTATAATGTATTTTGAAAAAGTTTCTAAATTGCCAGTACAAATAGTTACTTTATTACATAGGACGTGTACATACTTACATACATAAATACTTTTGCGCATATGCATGTGCAAACAGAGGAAACAAATATATATATTTGTACAAATTTGCATTTAAAGCGTAACGCAGGTGGATAAAATAAAGAGAGTATACTCCGTTAAATTTTGTTGGCTTTATTGGAATTTAAAAATGTAACAAAGCATATTCATCACGGAAAAGAGGATTGGCCCGCATGAGCAAAGTTAAGCAAATACTTTTTCTTAAAGCCCTTTTACTTCCAATTTATTTGAATAAATCGAGTAAATGGTCTGAAATTTCAAGAAAAAGTAATTGCTTAGTTTCTATTCATACGGCCCATTGATTGCACTTTCGAAACTTGTACTGAGTTATTAAATTTTGTATTATTATGTTTATTGTATTTAGATTTTTGCAGCTTTTGGAGATTAAAGGAATCGCCTCCATGTAATTAGGGGTTGCGCTTTTGCTAAAAAAACTTGAAGGTATAATTTTTCATACAAAATAAGACTGTATTCTAGGCTAGTTTCGAGAACTTCGATGTGTTTAAAGTTTAAGAGAATATCTTTTACATAAACTCGGCCACGTTTTCTCCTTTTATTTTTCAAATCACGTGTATAACTTAAAATATTCGACAAAACGCGTTTCAATATTACATTACAAATTACAAAATTTATTATATTTGAAGATGTCCATCAAAATATTTCGGAAAAATATTAAGACTTACGTGAGCTGGACCGATTTGAAAATACCTACAAAAATGCATTGTTTTATGAGAAAAATCCCCTCAAATGACAATTCAGTTTAAGCTTGAGAAACCTGCATACAATTTTTTTAAATATTTTTCCATGGAAGATTTTTGATGCTAATATTTTTTTTTAAACTTTTTTCAAAGATTGGTTTAAGAAAAATTTGAATAACTGAGCCAAAACTATTCCGATTTATGTAGATTTGTGAGGTATCAGTGGAAAGATATTTTCTCGCTCTTTTTATTTCTTTACATAAAAGACTCATTCACGCACCCACCTTGCGTTCCAAGGTTTTCACCCAGTCTTCGTTGAGCTGACTAAGAGCCCATCTGTCCAGAAGTAGACCACATGTGGCCAGTGAAGCTCGCATAATTTCTTTACACGGCGAGAGTTTTTCTTAGTGCCCTGTCTCATCAGCTTATTGGCCATGCAGTCGTCTGCGAAATCGCTGTAGCCTAGAACCCAAATGAGTTAAGTAGCGTAATAATCTGATGCTGTTTCATTTTCCGTATGTATTTCTTACATTTTTATGAAGATCTATTCTTCGACTCTTTCCAAGACTTCTCAAGGTTCAACAGTTTAAAGAGTTCACTAAAGCGCCTTCTGAGAGTTTCCAATTGCAGGTTTCACCTGTGTGGGTTGGCCTGAACCTTGGTTTTTCTCAATTGACCTGAAGTGCTGAACAATATAATGAGATAATCACCATAATTAAAAAAGAGTTACCGAAAAAATGTTATCGTGCGGTAAATTGAAATATTAAGGGCAGTTTTCTCAAGTAACCTTTAACTTTAAAGCTTACTTTATATTTAAAAGTTACTTTAAAAGCTCGGTTTTTATTTTTTTAATTTGTCTATAACTAAGAAGCATATATACGTCAAAAACCGATAATAGAAATGCTTTACTTTAGACAAATGCATATAGTTTAAAGCAACCTTTAAATATAAAGTGAGCTTTAAAGTTAAAGGTTGCTTGAGAAAAACGGCCCTAAATATAATATCTCTTACAACAGTACTGTGCCTCTTTGAAAAATTCCCAATGGCGACTGAAAAGTCTAAAATTCAATTATTTGATATTTTTCGGGGTGTAAGTACTTAACGTTTTTAACAGAAAATTTTATTTGGTATTTTTTTTTTAAAGACTCAAGACTTGCCAACTTTAATAGAAAACTAATTTTTTTTGGCCTTACTGAAATAGCGAATAATTAATACTAAATTAATCTCTCACATATGCAAAAACCAATGTAAACATGCATAAAAAAATAGGACCAAACTTACATTTGAACCAAATATACGAAGATATGTATATAATAAAAAAGTCCCTTATTTAAAACAAATAAAAGAAAAATAAACACTGCCATTCAATGACTTCCCTCGCTACGTTATTAAATGAAAAACATTGTAAGTAATTAATAATTGAATGCACTGAGAGCTATTTTACTATTTACTATATCTACACTTTGTACAATAATATTGACAACTAAAAAAAAAAACCGAACGTTTAAATAAATAAAAAACCTTTTATACTAACAGCCAAAGATTAATTATGTGTTTTTATTTTCTAACTGACTTGATAGATATTTGGTGTCAAAAATGCTAAAAAATATTTATGCAAATGCTGTCCTGATAGGTATGCTTAATCATAAAAATTGTATGATACAGTACAGATGTACATTAGAGTGGTCCAAAAACAATAAAGTCGGAATTTTAATGCCGTCACCCCCTAGAATTGTTCTATACCGAAATATACCCCTATTTTTTATTTTGAAATCGAAAAAAATATTTAGGGATTGCTCAAAGCACTAAAAATTTTCCATGTATATTATGGAAAATAAAAAAAATAGGGATACATTTTTCCGGTATAGAACAATCCTAGGGGGGTGGCGGCATTAACATTCCGACTTTACCTTTTCACATGCATTTTTGAACCACACTAATGTACATATTTATGAATTTACATATGTAAATACATGTAACACAATTAATAACTTTTCTTTTTTTGAGTCCAATGGACTTTGTTTTTGTTTTTTTTTCTTTTTGCATATTTTAAAATATCGAATCAAATGTCACCGCCGGCCTCGGAGTTAGTTTATTTTTCGCTTACTACACTTCCTCTTTAAATTCATTCAAACGAACCAACAGAGATTTGCATTGGTAACCCAGTAGCAAATTGAATTACGAAAGATTTGGCTTAAGCAATAATTTCGCGATTTCCAATCCATATAGTCCTTCTCCCATCAATTCCGTATGGCGTCTTTCTACCTTTCCCATACCTTAACGGACCTGCCCTGATGCGTACTACTTTCTAAAGTGGCAGTGATCGTTTACATTTCTTTTCTTTTTCTTAAGCTTTCGACCATCCAAAAGTCCTTCCCTATTCGGGAACTTCAAAGGGGCTCGGTCGCCCATTGGGGCAGACGGGAAAGCCTTTGCCTAATGAAACCGGCAGAACTACAAAATACACAGCAAAACTTATCCCATGCGAAAGATAAGGATGACCCGGCAGCTTTCAAAGGCAGATAAGGGAAACAATTAAGAAGATCTTCCCAAAAACTCATTTTTGCTCTTCCAAGCCTGGCCTGCGAGTCGTAGGCATGTATTTAATTTTATAGAGAACCTGCCGTATCCACCAAAAGAGCAGAAGGACTATTTGTATTTTTGGGTAAAGAGCCAATCCAGCATGATAAAAACATTAAAAAAAAACATTTACAAATATTTCTATCATGCATTCAAGTATTACGAAGGCAGAGTTATGGAAATTTTTAAGCTCTCGCTGCCCCTTGTCATCAAAGCTAAGCAATTTTCTCACCCCTCTTCACCTTCTATGTATACGTAGTCATTGGTATTTCTTAAATCTGTTGATGTTTCTTTATTGTTATTGATGACTATCAAGTACAGAAATGGGGAATTTATAGCCTACAAGATTTAAAAAAATGTTGGATAAATATTTGTTCAAATTAGAATTTATAAGATTTTTCATAAAAATAAGAAAAGTAAATAAATAAATATTGCAGACGTAGTCATCTTCCTGACCACCACCTGCCCCTTGCCATCAAATATAACCTAATCAAAGACACTCCTCCCCCATTAGTCGTTACGTATTACTCGAATAGCACCTGATCCCCATTAAACAAATTCGGAATTCTGAGTTTTCCTGTTGGGGTTTCTGCCCACTTCGTTATGTGTTAGTGATTTGTCATTCATTGTTTCCATTACAGTTGCAATTTCACTGCTGCCAAACAAAAATCAGTCATAGTATTTAACATAAGCATTAGGGCGTTTCGAAAAAAATCGCATTACAATAAGTACTTACAACTGAGAAATGATGGAGTTGCTCAGTAAAAATCCCTCCGCCACAGTCCAAGCACTTCGCCTCCAGTCACAGCTATTGGCAAATTTCGTACGGAGTTTATGGTTCATTCAGGTCTTTGGTATGACATAGTCAGTAGGCAGTGCTCTTATATCGTATGGGACATTGTGACCGAATGGCATTGTAGCAGTTGAATTTTCGATAAGAAAGATCTACCAGTAATATAGCAAGCCAAACGTTCAAAGTATCCATTGAATAGGGTCTCCTAGTACAGATTGCACCAAGAGGAGCTGTGCTCTGAATTCCACTAAGTATCCAAAGGACGTAATCCTTAGTTAGAGCTGGCTGCATTGTTCAACTTACCGTTCAACTCAACGCAGGGTTGCACGAATAAAAAGTTGAATGGCTAAATGTTGGCTGGCGACCAACATTGTTGAAAGCGGTTAGTTGAAATGCCATTCAACCAA